CACAATTTCTTCAATGGTCCGTCGTCAATCTTCCTTGATGATTTCACGAATTTTTTCAACATTTTCGTGTGTTCGGGCCGTGGAAGGACGACCAGAACGAGGTTTGTCATCAATTGACATTTCACCATTTTTGAAATGGGAATACCACTCAAACACTTGAGTTTTCCCCCCATAGCATCGTCCTTGTACGCCATTTTTAACATTTCAAGAGTTTCTTTTCCACTTTTCCCGAGCAAAAAGCAGAATTTCACCGCCGCACGCTGTTCACGAAAATCAGCTATTGCAAAAATGACGATCACACAGATCAGTTGTCACTATAAACTCTGCTGAAACTAGTCCTTACCTTCTGAAGCAACGGTAGTCGGCTTATCAACTCAGGAATGTTAGCTCTATGCGCTCATAGCAGCAAAACGCGGTACTACAGAAGCTCTGCCCACAAAAAAATTAGTTCAGCTTCTTTTGGGTACCCCATCGTATATTGTAACATGTTTCTCTACTGAAGATGCCATTTGGATCGTTAATTGGTTTTATTAACAACCTACAAGTCATAACTACAATTGATTGTAACACTCTTGCGGGATTACACACTTTACAAACCCTAAACACTAATCTCTTCACACTATCTTCAGTAGTCTTCATGTATTTACAGTATAACACGGGAGCTATATAAGCGTCACTGAATTACACACTCTCAATGCCTTCTCAGTTATCACAAACTATCACTGATTATAACACATAAAATCTTCTAACCACGCGTTTGGTTCTTCTTCTTCCCACGACTGACTGACTTCTGCTCCGCCGAATACTCCGAATACTAACTCTCACACTCTTCAGTGGCTGCTACATTTCAACTGACTCCTTAGGCATTCCAGTCTCTCTTATAAACCCTCAGTTGGACAGTGGAGAATACATCTTGCTTCATTATTGTGTAATCACCGTGTTTACAGAGGCATTGCTGGGCAGCGCTGCTGAGAGATGTTTACTGCAACACTGCATAGCAACTAGCACACTTCGGCTCGGCTAGGCACAGCACAGAGAAACAGAGCTTTCCGTACTTTTGCATAACCTCATTTCCACTGTTGCGCAACTTGGCAAGCAACCATTTATCAAGAGTCTGTCTTCGTGGTAACTCATTCCACATCCCGTTGCCCAGCAACGGTTTGACATGTCACAATATATTCATCTCCAATGTTGAAGAGTAAGCCAGACAAGGAGCCAGCAGAAAGTGTTCAGTGAACTTATATCTGTTGATCTGAGTTCTCCTCTGCCAGTAAAGGAACAGACAATGGTGATGCATTTTCTTTAGTTGGATCTTCCCGCTTTATCCTGAAAGTCCTGTCGCTAAAATGCAAAACACGAGCATGGGTATGTTGGTATGGGATCTGCATTAAGTACATACAATGGCCACAATTGTAACATGAAAAACTTTAGTGAACTGTAGGCATGATATATAATATTCTGTAAATATGTCAGAGCTTTAGACAATATCAGTTCTCCTTTCTCTCATTTATAGGCATTGAACTCACAGCTGTCTTACAGATCAGTCCTTTGTGTCAGACCGCGTGCAAGGGCTTTGAAGATTGTTTATATTGTAACGTGTTTTTTCTACTGAAGATGCCATTCAGATTGTTAATCTGCTTTATTAACAACGTACAAGTCATAACTACAATTGATTATAGCACTGTTGCAGGTTTGCACAATTTACTAACCCTACACACTAATTTCTTCATGTTATCTTCAGTAGTCTTCACGTATAACCTGGGAGCTATACAGTTGTCACTGAGTTATGCACTCCCAATACCCAGTGCCTTCTCAGTTACCACAAACTATCACTGATTATCACACATAAACTCTTCTAATCACACGTTCATCAGTTCTTCCTCCCGCGACTGACTGTCTTCTTGCAAATACTCTGAATACTGACTAACACTGTCTTTGGCGGCTGCTACATTTCGACTGACTCCTTAGGCATTCCAGTCCCTCTTATAAACTCTCAGTTGGACAGCAGAAAACGCACCTCACTTCACTGTTGCATAATTGCTGTGTTTACAGAGGCGTTGCTCTTCAACGCTGCATAGCAACCAGCATGCTTCAGCTCAGCATGGCATAGAGAAATGCCGCTTTCCTTACTGTTGCATAACTTGGCAAATGACCGTTTATCAAGAGTCTGTCTTCGTGGAAACTCGTTCCATATCCCATTGCCCAACAACAGCTTGACATGTCACAGTATTTTGGGGATAGCTGTGTGATGATGTAATGATTTGTTGCCTTCAGATCAGAAAGTTTATTGCTTCATGAAAGATTATAAGCAGTGCAATGGAGGTACAGTGTTACCATATTGTTATGTGGATGGACATAGTGTTGCTAATTAACTGACCGTTAAACGCCTTGTGACCAAATACATGCAAGGCGGCCGTGGGAGTATGGTGTTTTCTGTGCAGTCAGCGCCATGACTGCTGCTA